CCGCCCGCGCCGCCCCCCTCCCCGCCTCTCCCCCTGGCCGCCGAGGCCTTCGCTGGGGTCGGACTGGGCGGGGCGGCGGGTCCGAAGGGCCCCCTCCTTCTAATCCGGGCCAGTGCTCCCGTCCCCACCCATCCCCGCCCTCCCCTCCGTCCACTTGCCACTTGCTCAGGGGCCTGACCTCTAGCAAAGCCCAGGATCCCCTCTTTCCTGGCTGGGGGCCAGCTTCCATAGCCAGTGCTCGGAGCTGTGGCTGCTCGCAGGGATTTAACTCCAGGGGAAAGACAGAGTACTAGAAAACGATTGCACCTATGCTCCTACCCCAGAAGCTCCACTGCAAGATCCATTATGCGACCGGCAATGCTCTAGGTGTAACCACGCACACCCAGATTATAGCCTTTGGCCACCGGTCCCTGCATCTGCGAGCAGAGCCTTGATGTCACATGCCTGGTTTGCTAGAACCATTCCACACGCTTACAGTTTGGCTTATGATCACGTGCTTGTTTCCATTTGAGAGTCCCATACCAGGCCCAGCGAAGCACGACTGGAAACCAGAGATGGTGAAATGACCAAGCCATCGTTTTCATAAACTGAAAGAGGCAGGAGTGAGTTAGCTGAGGTAAAACACATCTTCCAAGCCGGGTATCAAAGCGTGGGCACCGCACGTGGCACTGCCTTTCCTGAGCCAAGGTAGGGTTTTGTTTGTTTGTTTTTAGAATTATTTATCCAGTTTTATTATTTTTATTTTTAAAAATTTGCTCCAGGGCATGTGCACTCACCAGAGAGAGACAGAGAGAGAAAGAGACAGGGAAAGTGAGAAAGCAAGTCATCAGGTCCGGGACTCCAACCACAGTCAGCCATGTAGGAGTCCAGTGCATTAACCACCACACCACCTGCTGGCCCCTTACCCAAGGGCTTTTAATAATTACAATGAATAAAGTGGACGCAGGTACATTTCCAGCCCTGCCTGCCATACCCACTCTTCTTTGAGATCTGAGGTCATCTAAGTTTGAACAGGCACCTGTTCCTCTCGCACAGTGTCCTGCATTTTTACCTGTAAGCCGTGTCTACCTGATTATTAGTGAAAAACCCAGCTTATGGACAACCTTAACAAGATGGCCACGACCAACAGCAAAAATGCTAATCCATTTCTTGAACTAAGGACACCCGGATCCTCACCGTTTTTACAAACGTAGCCAGCACTCCATACCCTGGAGTTTTGCACCCCCAGATTCAACACCAAGAATACCACAGTTCTGAGATGGGTAAGAGATGACTCTCTGAAACAGAGATGGTGGAGGGGCTTACCTACATTGTTTCTTTTCACTTAGATCTTGTGCTAAGATTACTTATAAATAATGTGGAGATCAAAAGAGTGCAAGAGGGTGTGTGCTGATTATATGCAAACATCATGCCATTACCGAAGGGGCCCGTGCATGCAAAGATGTTGGGATCTGTCCTGGGAATGCCTCACCCAGGGGTGACTGTAATCAGTTTTAGAGTGGGAGGTGATTGTAAATTCTAAAATTAATGAGACCTTAAACCCTGACACATATACACGTGTGCATATATGTGTGACACATGTACACGTGTATGTGTATGTGTGTCTGTGTATCACCTTCTCTATCAGGAAAACTGATGATATCCGAAGTAAACAGATACCTTCTAACACTACTTCTATTGTAAAGGGCTGATGGACGTGACCGAGAAACAAAGAAAGTTAAAAAAGAACATGATCCGAACATATACTGACCGCTTTTCATGTATTATTTTTAAATAGGGGGATACTTCAAAATGTGTGTGGAAAAATTGAATTAATATCAGTTTATTTTGATGTGAAGAAAATTGAAATCTATGAGTAGTTTTATTCATAATAGGCATTTTCCATACACTTTTTGGAGACCTCTGGTGTATTATTTTATATATTATTTAACATCCATGGTAAGTGGGTATAATTATCCTAATTTTACTGATGGAAAAAACAGATGGTAGAGACCTTAAGTTACCTTGTTCAGGGTCACAGAGCTAGTATGTAGTGTGTGTGAGCGTGTGTGTGTGTGTGGAGCTCATGCATGTACACATGTCCTGGGTATCTATTACTGCATAACAAACCTGCAGTAATATTCCCAGGCATCTGTTGGGTTGGTGAAAAGTCATGATGCACTTTGGCACAGAAAAACATAGAAAATATGTCATAATTTTTCCAGTGACCCAATAGTATTACACCTCAAATGTTGTGGATTAATACAGTCATCATTTCCAGGAATTCTGGGGAGACTCGGTTGAGTGAACCTTCTACTCCATGTGCGCCCCCTCAGGGGTATTCAGCTGGAGGCTGGTCTGCTCTGGAGAGTCCGAGAGGGCTTCATTTGTGTGTCTAAACCACCGGATGGAGGGGTGCTGGAAGCCTGGGCTCAGTTCGGCCCTTCCCTCATGGACTCTCAGGACTTCTCCAGCCTGCCCCTCCAGTAAAGTCAGAACTTCTTTTTTTCCCTTCTTTTTCTTCTTTCCTTCCTTCCTTCCTTCCTTCCTTCCTTCCTCCCTCCCTTCCTCCCTCCCTTCCTTCCTTCCTTCCTTCCTTCCTCTTTCTCTCTCTCTCTCTTTTTTATTTTTATCAGAGGGCTCACTAGAAAGAGAAAAATGGAGGGGGGCTCCCCCATGCCCCCCACCATAGGCTGTGGTCACATGCAATTTTTTTTCCTCCATTTCTCTGTCCTATCAGGATTTGGGACATGGCACATACATCAGGCATGCTTTTCAAGCCACCAGGGTGTACGTCTGAAACTGCGGTGGGACAATTCCCGAACATCTTTACAATCCTGTGGTTGACTGAGGTCTGTGAGAAGCCCCTAAATGTTTCTGAAGTCTCAATAAGCTGAACCTCTGATTTCAATGTTATCACTGCTCAGGATTTGATCTTTGAACAGAGGCTGTTTCTTTGTATTCCCAGTGATAATTTCATTTTTGAATCCAAAAAGTCCCAACTCTTACATTTCCTGTGACTTCTGCTCAAAGCCTGAATAGCTCTTTCATTTGTTCATGTATCTCTCCCCTCAAATTTCAAACCCTAAAGCAATATTTTTTTTGCTTAAAAATTAAAGTGACAGGACCAGCCCTATGGCCTAGTGGTTAAGGGAACCAGATCTCACATGGCCAACTACAGTTCAAATCCCAGCCCTGGTGGTTTGAAAAATACACCAGGCATGTGTGCAAACATGCCCAAAATCCTGAAAGGAAGGAGAAATGGAGTAGAAAGGATTGCAGCAGGACCAGTCCCCACTGAGGAGTGCTGCTTTCTCTCTTCCTTTCTCTCTCTTTCCTTTTTTCTGTGCCTCTGATGAGCACACATGCCCCCTGGCAATTATTTAAGAAAAAATTTTAAATGATACCATGTTTTCATTGGGTTGATACAGACCACCTCTGCCTAATAGAAACATCATGTGAACCCACACAATTAAAACGTTCTACTATTAACATCCACAAGGTTAGATAAACAGGGGAAACGCTATTGTATCTAATACACCTAAAATATTATCAATTCTACTTTTTAATCAATATGAAGAGTCATTAACGAAATATTTGAACTTCTCTTTTGGCGTACCAAGTCTCTGAGATTCAGTGCATACTGCACACTTACGGGACGTGTCGTGTCAGAACTGCTTCATTTCCAATGCTCACATACCACCTATGGCTCAACGCTGGTGAGTAGCTAGAGACTGTATAATCTCTCAACTTTCATTTTCGAAGCACTAAACATTTTAGTCTAGCGTAAAGTTGTGAGGCATTTGCGTATGTAAGATTTATATGGCTCTTCTACATACACACTTACTGCTGTTAGTGACCATGAACACCATCAATACACAGCTAAATGCTTAACTGAGGATTAGCTTATCTTTGAAGATATTCTGAAATTTATTTAGGTAGTCAAAAAGATTTCTTACTGAATTCCCAAATTTTTACATTTGGATATGACTTCTAAAAGAAAAACATTTCTGTTAATATTTATAATGATTAATTTTATGGTCAATTTGCTTGGCCACAGAATGCCTACATATTTGTTTTTTAAAAAGAATTATTTCTATTTTAACTTTAGTTATCATCATTATTTTCCAATTTGATCATAGAGAAACAGAGAGAGTGAGGGAAAATGAAAAAGCAAGCCACCAGATCCAGGACTTGAACCAGAGTCGACCATGTGGGAGTCCAGCGCCTTTAACCACCAAGCCACCTGCGGCCCCCAGTGCCTAGATATTCGATCAAATCAATTTGAGTGATTCTGTAAGAAGGTTTTTGGGTGAGGTGAACATTTCAGTAAACTAAGTAAAGCAAATTATCTTCCCTACTGGGGGCGGGCCTCAGTAATCTAATCAGTTGAAAGCCTGAATAGAATGAAAACAGAAGAAGGCTAAACATCCTCTGAATAAAAAAGAATTCCTCTCCACCTGACTGCCTTTACACTGGGACATAAACTTTTTTTCTTTCCTTTGGATTCAGATTGAGACCTCAGCTCTCTCTGGGTCTCAAGCCTGCTGGCTGTCAAACTGGAAAGACACCGTTGGCTTCTGCAGGCTCCCAGCTTGATGATTCACTCTGCGGATCTTGGGACTGGTCACCCCTCTAGTCTATGGACTAAATGCTGAAGTAAATGTTTTTATATTTGTAGATGCTTATGTATGGTATATAGATATATACATATCTATATATGTAGACCCCTATGTGTGCTACTTAGGAATATGTATATACCTATAGATAGTACTTAGGTATCTACAAATGTAAAGGTATTTATTTTAAGATATATACACATATATAGCCCATATATATCTATATACAAATATAAAGATAGGTAAACGTCTACATATATGAAGAGATGTATTATGAGGGTTTTGCTCATGTGCTTATGAAGGCTATAACAGACCTATATCTCCTATTGGTTCTCTGAAGAAAGCTAATACAATGTTATTTATACCTAGCGCATATCATTTTTCATCTTTCACTGATTGTTTAAACACTAATTGAGAATCAAAAAAGTATATAATCCTTTTTTTTTTTTTTGAGCTGTTTTTGCTATAGGGCACATGCACTCTCCAGAAAAACAGAGAGAGACAGAGAGACAGAAAGCGAGAAATCACCCCCCGGGAGGATGGCCACACCACAATCCCTTCTCCTCCATTCTTCTCTTGGGATCTTGGGCACACACGCCCGGCGTGAGTTTAAGCCACCAGGTCTGGGACGCGAACCGTGGTTGACTACATGGGAGTCCAGCAACATAGCCCTTACACCAACTTCTGGTTCCTATAATTCTTTGTATATTCTTCTTTGAGTGTTTGACAATCTAATGGGAAGGGCTCTAGAATCAATAATGACATAATTAAGTGAAAGACTTTAATTCCTGAAATGAGACTAGAGTCAACCATGGCATACTACAGAGAATTCATTAGCGTAAAATGAAATGGCATATGTGATTGCTCGCTAAAGATATATCAGTTATATAAAAAATCCCCAAATTTATAAGCAACATTTAACTTCCTTAAAAATTAACCTGATTTTAAATTCTGACTCTGTCTTGTTCTAGGTAGAAAATCCTAAGCTGGTCATTTAATTCTCTGAGGACAAGATGTCTAAAACAACGCTGATATTACTGGCTTCCTTGTAGAGTTGTATGAATTAGGAGTTTTGGAAAAGAGCATATAAACACATAATAAATTATCAATTAGATTATACTCCTTTTCAGCTTTTATACCACTAAGTTACTTAAAACGAGAGTTAGTAAAATTTGGGGAGGGTGTTCACCAGTTAATTTTACTATTGTGCATTATAATATGTGATGATCACATAGATAATCTTTTATATTTATCCAATACAGACAGTTCTTGCTCTGTAAAGGTACCATGAAAACTGAAACTTGTTCATGTCAAGCCTGTCTCTGCTTTGCGAATTCATACATATGCACATTTCCTACTTGCACCATAGAAATCTATCTCCATAGCAATGACCATGACCAGAGTCTAGATCTTGTTTTCAACACTGTCTTAGTCCATTTGGGCTGAGATAACAAAATACCTTAGACTGAGCAATTTATAAACAGTGAAAATATGTATCTCACAGTTCTGGATGCTGGAAGTCCAATCCAACACTGTCTTAGTCCATTTGGGCTGAGATAACAAAATACCTTAAACTGAGCAATTTATAAACAGTGAAAGTGTGTATCTCACAGTTCTGGATGCTGGATGTCCAATCCAACACTGTCTTAGTCCATTTGGGCTGAGATAACAAAATACCTTAGACTGAGCGATTTATAAACAGTGAAAGTGTGTATCTCACAGTTCTGGATGCTGGAAAGTCCAACACCATGATGTCATAGAGTGTCTGGCGAGACCCCTCTGCTTCATAGACCTTGCTTTCTAGCTGCATCTCCACATGGCAGGAAGGACAAGTAAGCCCCCTAATGCTTTTTTTTATAAGGGCACTAATCCCATTCATCAGAGCTCCACCCTCATGACCTAATTACCCTCTGAAGGCCTTACCTCCTAATGCTATATATTTCATTGGAGACAGATTTTAACATGTGAATGGGGGGCATTAACATTCAGACTCTCCAATACCATTCTTCAGTAAAAGGAACCAAGACTTCTTTGAGAAATAAATGATTCCAGGGCTGGAACAGAGAAAATGTAATTCTCCTGAGGAAACTTGCAGTGCCAGAATGTAAGGAAGTGTACAAAATTTAAAAGGAATGGGAGTGTGTCCAAGGGGCACAGGAGTCAACCTGAAATGCCACAAATAGCTGGAGTTGGAGCAATCTGAATAACAAAAGTAAAAAAAAAAATCTTAATCATAATCCAAAGTACAAAATATATATCTGTGAGTCTATACCAATATTAATAAATAAGCCAACAAGTGGAAAAATGGGGAAGAAGAGACAAATCTCCAGCAGAAGAATTCTATGTGAGTCATGTACATCCTCTTCCAGGAAGTGGGCCTTAACTCCTTTTTCTCCCAACCTTGAGTGTGGACAGTATGGAAGCAAGGAGGAGGTGACTTACAGGGGAGAAGTCTGACCAACACCGCCTGACCCAGGTGGTCAGGTTAACATGACAGAGATGAGTCATGCTAACAACACGTACCCTTGAAGTGAGGTACCGAGAGGGTACCTTCATCTCTGTGGTCTTCCCACCAAAACCCACAATCCCAGTCTCATCACGGTAGAAACATAAGACAAAGCACCATGGAAAGATCTTCTGCAAGACACATGACCAGTGTTCCTCCAAAGTGTCACGCTCACTAAGACAAAGACAGTCTGAGAAACTCTGAAGAGATGTGAGACCGAAATGTAATGGGGATTCTGGTTGGGACCCTGGAAGAGAGAGGGGCGGCTGGGGGAAGCTGACTGTGCTGGTTAATTTTAGTTCAGTGGACTTGGAGTAAAGCAGATTACCCTCAGCATGGGCCTCATCCAGTCAGCTGAAGGCCTTAATAGAACTAAGACGGACTTCTCCTCAGCAAAAAAAGGAATTCTTCCAGCAGGCCGCCTTTGGACTGGACTGCACTCCCCGGGTAACCAGCCTTCAGGCTGCAGATTTTGGATTGACCAAGCCTCCACAATCACGTGAGCTTTTTCTTTAAAAATAAATCTCTTTCTTCCTTTCTCTCTGTCTCTGTGCACGCACACACACAGGCACACACACACGTGCACACACGCAGGCATGTACACACATAAATTCTGTTGGTTCTGCTTTTCTGGAGCCCCCTAATACACTGGTGAAGTCACTGGAAATGTGGAGAATTTATGACAGTAAGATAGCGACGTTGGTGCATTCATTGTGACAAATATACCATAGTAATGTAAGATGTTAATGATCGGGAACAACGTATTTGTAAATCTATAGCTGTTTTAAAATAAAATCTACTTCAAACACGCTTGGATTATCCTTCTCCACACTATTAAATACATTTTACAAATTAATTGCTACTTTAAAAGAATATAATGTTTTATTATTTTAAGGTTAAGAGCACAAACATTTGAGAAAATACTGGATAAATTATGAAGTCCACATAGTGTGTGTGAAGAGTATATGAAATTATAGAAAAACACGGAACTAATATATTATTTAACATAAGCCAAAAAAAGACCTGATTGCTTAACTTTAAAGACATTATTTTAAAAGGACTTCAGGAAATTACAATATGATATTAAATAAGGAATTAAATAATAAATTTTATGAAAAATTTCTAGAAATAGCCTATGAAAAGCAAGGTACATTCTAGATTCACTTTGAGATTGAAGCATTTGCATGCAATATTGCCATAGATCCACCAGATGTCGCTGTTTCTCCTCTATTGTCACTTTAAACAATCTTGCCCAGATTTTTAACACCATGTATTGGAGCTTTTTGTTGCTTTGTTTTGTTTTTCAGGATTTAGGATTAACAAAGTCTTCATTCCAGATAAATGGAGAACCTGGTTTAGATAAGAATCACTACTGTGGTGAATATCTGGTATTAGCATGCACAGCTGACAGGTGTCTGATCAGAATCTACCATACCTGTAGCTTTGACAGGTAAATAGGGCCAGAGACCCACACAGGCCCTCCTTCTAAACCACATGTGGCTATTCTTGTACCAAAAAGAAAACCGAGGGCCAACAACATTAAATAATTTACCAATTATAAACAGTTAACTGGTTTACCTAGACTGGTCTAGCCTGACTTCAAAAATTGATTTGTTTTAGAGGTTTTTACCTTAGGGTATATGCGCCCACCACTTAAGTGAGAGAGAGAGAGAGAGAGAGAGAGGGAAAGACAATGAGAGGGAAAGTCCTTTTTATTTTTTAAGTCGACTTCATCTGATAGTACAATAGCTTTCTTCTATTTAGAATATTTGCATGTTTAAACACATCCGTCATTTTAATATTTCTGTATTATATTGAAATAATGTTTGATAAACAGTCTACAGTTGCTACATGCTGCTTAGATTCAGAGAGGATGACATTCGCTTCTTGTAGCAGACTCAGCTGGGGGCTTTGGCCACCCCAGGTCACCTCACTCCAATCAGGAATTGAGAAGACTGGGTTACAACCCTGTGAGGTTACTCTACCTCCAGTTCTTCCTAGCTCCTGAGTGGCTTCTTACTTTCTCCTTCGGCTTTTCTAGTTGCTCTCAGCTGGCGATCAGTCTGAACTCCCCTCATCCACCACTGCCAGAGGGGAACAAAGGAATTTTTGTGCAGTGTATGATAAAAATCACCTCCACCTTTGAGGGGATTCTGCAGTAAAATAAACAGTTCTCCATAATGATTTAATGCACAAATAATTCACTCCTTCTTCATGGAGAAAGAAGGGCTGCTTCCTTCTTCATGGTCAGCGTGGGGGCAAATAGAGACTTCCAACACCAAGAACAAGTGTATGCATTAAAAATGTATCTGGGGACCAGCAGATGGCATAATGGTTACATCCCTGGACTCCCACATAGTTGACCGTGGTTCGAGTCACAGACCTGGAGGCTTAAAACTCACGCCAGGCGCGTGTGCATGCGTGCTTAAAATCCCAAAAGGATCATGGAGGAGAAAGGATTGTGACATGGCCGTCCCCTCTGAGGGGTGATTTCTCACTTTCTGTCTCTCTGTTTCTCTCTGTCTCTCTGGTGAGCACACGAGCTCTATAGCAACAAATAATGATAAACATTCTAATCCTAATCAAACTGAACTTAATATTGACCTTGAACTTATTAAAATCATGAGCTCTGGAGCACAACAGACACATTTCTATTATGCACAGCTCAGCCCTCATTATAAGAACGAAAATGTGGGAACCAGCAGTTAGTGTAATGGCTATGTCGCTGGACTCTCGTGTAGTCGACCGCGGTTCACGTCCCGGACCGGGTGGCTTAAAACTCACGCCAGGCGCGTGTGCGTGTGTGCCCAAGATCCTGAGAGGAGAATGAAGGAGAAGGGATTGCAGAGTGACCCTCCTGGCTGGGGGGTGATTTCTCGCTTTCTGTCTCTCTGTCTCTGTCTGTCTGGTGAGCACACATGCCCTGTAGCGAAAACCTCTCAAAAAAAAAAAAAAAAGAAAAGAAAGAATGAAAATGTGTCATGTGCTAAGGTGCTCCGTAGTTTCACAGAAGGTTCTGTTACTGTTTTTGGCTTGTTTATTTCCTTTTATTTATTACATTTTAGTTGGGTCAAATGTGTGGAGTGGAAAGAGATATGCAAATGGGCTCCTGGGGGCCAGGACAATCCAGCCCAGCGGTGGGGAGGGAGGGATTCTCAGAGAACCACGCAAACGACCGCGTTCACCTCTGAAATAACCGTCCCAGTGCAGCGTCTGTGATGGGCATACTGTCAACTTCGCCATCACAGGATCCCACGCTCCTCTCCGATTAGCCTCAACACATTAGTTGGTACCCACCCAGGCTGGTGAGAGAGATAGCACTTTGTCTCCTGATTCAAATCTAGTCTCTTCTAGAAAGACCCAGACACACCCAGAAATACACAAACACGCCCAGAAATGTTTTTACCAGTTGTCTACGTACCTCTTAGCCCAGAAATCAGCCAAGCTGACAAATACAATTAACCGGCACATTCTCATATGGTAGAGAAGCTGAGAGCGAGGGTAAATTATATCCATTTAGCAAGGAAAGGAGAATGTGGGAAGACGTTTGTTGGGAAAACCAAGTGAATCAATTTACCTTCCTGGTTACGAGGAGCGAGGCTTACTCAAGCTACCCCTCGTAGTGGGTGATACAAACTAGGAAAGGGAGGCCTTTATAATGAAAGGGCTTTATCATGTGGGAATTATTAAGCTAGGGATATTATAAACAAGAGTCCAGAGCCCACAGGCTTCTGGGAAGTGCTGCCCAAACATGAATATGAGGAATAGAAATGGTAGGCTATCAAGAATGGGAGGGGCCAGCAATGGCACAGTGGTTAAGGTGCTGGACTCCCACATGGCCAAGCATGGTTCAAGTCTCAGACCCGGAGGCTTGAAATTCATGCTGGGCGTGTGTGTATGTGTACATGCCCAAAATCCGAGAGGAGAATGGAGGAGGAAGGACTGCTGCATGGCCATCCCCCTGGAGGGTGGTTTCTCACTTTCTCTCTCCAGTGAGTACATGCACCCTATAGCAAAAATCTCTCTCTCAAAAATAAAGAATGGGAACTTCAGGAATGTGAAGGTCATTCAGCCTCCCAGGCCGCTGGGCACAAGCCGCCACCTGGCCTTCTTGGCAGCACGAGTTTATGGGACACAGTGACAGGACCGTGACCATGGACACGGCTCAGCTCCTCACACGCTTCTTTAGCAATCAGCACATTTCACAGCATTTTTATTTTGTGCTGATATCGAATAGATGTAAATAAGAATGATTATGGGCCAGCAGTTGGTGTGATGGTGAAGGCACTGGACTCCCACATAGCCGACTGTGGTTCGAATCTCAGACCTGGCAGCTTGCTTTCTCACTCTCTCTCTCTCTCTCTCTGTCTCTCTCTAGTGAGTGTGTGTCCCCTCTAGCAAATTAAAAACATAATAATAATGATAAGTAAAATTAAATAAATAATTCTTTTTAGAAAGAATGATCATTAGATAGTAATGGAGATAAGCATATTTAATTTTCCAAGTTTCCCCCACTGCAACCATATAATGGACCGATCCAGACTGCCAGCTGCTGATTGGGCTCCAAGTGGAATGCTGGGATACGCTGTGGGGTTTGTGGTGGCCACTGGACCCATGGTTACTAGGCAGAGCCCTGCAATGGCTGCAGGGTCGTGGAGGGGCTGCCACCCTCTGAGGATTGACTTTGGGCTGGTCTCGAGGAAGCTGAACACAGTGGTGAGGAGCTGTGGCCCAGTAACCCAAGTCTGCAGTGCACTTTTTTTTTTTTGAGAGGTTTTTGCTATAGGGCGCGTGTGCTCACCAGAAAGACAGAGAGAGACAGAGAGATAGAAAGCGAGAAATCACCCCCCAGGAGGGATGGGCACGCTGCAATCCCTTCTCCTCCATTCTCCTCTCGGGATCCTGGGCACGCACGCACACGCGCCCAGCGTGAGTTTAAGCCACCGAGTCCGGGACGCGAACATGGTTGACTACATGGGAGTCCAGCGACATAGCCATTACGCTAACTGCTGGTCCCCTGTGGTACACTTTTTACAGGCTCCTGGGGAGACGGTGGGGAGTTCACCACTGGGCTGTGTACTGCTAGGCCTCTTGTTTTCATTCAGACTGGGTTTGTTTCTGGGAAGTCGATTTTATGTAAGAAGAGCAAAGCGGCTTGCAGAAATACCGGCTGCATGTACTCAGGAGATAGGCCAGTTTACTGACAAATGTGGTGCTGCCCAGGAGGAGGAGCGTGCAGGGATTAAGTCAGCCTTTCAGAGTGCCAAGGAAGAGCAAGTCTTTCCCCGCCTCCTCTCTGTCAAAGCTTACAGAGAGGCGCGGAGGATCCTTTGCTGCTGAGGAAGAATTCAGTTTCCTGGTTCAGAAAGTGAAGGAAGACAGGGAACCAGCAGTTAGCATAATGGCTATGTCACTGGATTCCCATGTAGTCGACCACGGTTCGAGTCCAGACCCGGTGGGTTAAAACTCACGCCGGGCGCGTGTGTGTGCCCATGTCCAAGATCCCGAGAGGAGAATGGAGGAGAAGGGATTGCGGCATGACCATCCCCCCTGGGGGGTGATTTCTTGCTTTCTCTCTCTCTGTCTCTCTGTGTCTGTCTCGCGAGCGCACGCGCCCTATAGCGAAAATCTCTCCAAACATAAAAAAATAAAGAAAGTGAAGGAATCTCTCCAAAAATAAAAAAATAAAGAAAGTGAAGGAAGACAGACCCACATGGTCCAAAAGAAAGAGGCAATGGCAGAAATGCTAAACTTGCTCAGGTCCCTGGCAGACAGGAGGAGCTCCACATCACAAGGCGCTTTTG